AGAAAAACTCCTCCATCGCCATCGCTAAAAAAAGTCGTAATTTATATTAAATCTGGAGCCCTAAACACCCGTCTGTTTAAAGAACTGTGCAAAGACATGCATAAAGATTACGTGGTTCAGCTTTTCTACACTACAGTAGGCCTACGCTGGTCAAAAGTAAATGTTGTGGATCGTTTTTTTATTGAAAGATGAAATCAAGTTGTTCATGGAAATCGCGAGGGAAACAAGACTTTTTGATATACGTTAACGACAAAGGGTGGTTGGAGAGAATATCATATCAAGAGTATCATACCTAGCAGATATGTCTAAACGGTGACAGGACAAATGATCTCAGGACAAATGATCTCAGACAAAATATCTCACGGACAAAGGATCTCAAGGACAGATGATCTCACGGACAAAAGATGCCAGGACAAAATATATCAGGACAATAGATATCATGGACAATTGATCTCAGACAAAATAGCTCAGACAAAATATCTCACATCAAAATTTTAATAGTGTGTAGGATGATTTTAGCGATCTGAACATTTTCTTATTGACTGTCATATGGTTTTGTTTGCCGTATAAATTTGTTATTACTAATATAGTACGCGAAGATTAAAGAAATTTTTTTCGATAGACAACGTAGGTGAGCTTGCCAAATATGAGACAATCCTACCATGTCAGGTGGACGAAACTAGATCAAATGGAAAGAAGTAACAACAAAGGCACACATTCGTATCGAATCGGCCACCCACTTTGATGGCAGAGACATGCATTATAGGAAAGACATTAGCCTTCCATGGACAATGAAACTAGCATCTAAATTCAAAAGTAATGCGTCGGGCTTGCCTTAGTGATTAGGTGATAAATGCTTATTTAAACGACAGCGGTTGTCGCGGAGCTAAGTTGTCTTACTGTGCATGCAAACATAGCAGCATTACTGGTGATTACTCATCTATAGCCTTTTTCGTTACCTCGCAGAAAGTGTATAGGACATTAGTCTCTGATGAATTTCTGTTTATAAAAGCCATAAGTGGAGCAGCAGGTAAAGAAATAGATTTGAAAATGTGAAGTTAGAACATGTCAAGCAAGAGTTCACACAATACATGATCACATAGTATTGGAGAGGTGTGATCATAACAATGTACCTGCCAGCAAATAAACGTAAACGTTATGTTTGTGTCGATAATGTAATAAAAACAATAGTTTACGTTACGAACCGGAAGACTCATTCACATTTTTTGAAATTTATTTCGCTTGATTTGAACAATAATGTTAAATAGCTACCGCTACTTTATTTGTTTTCTAAATTATCATACCTTTATTATACATTATACATTATACCTTTATCATACATTATTATACCTTTCAGGCTAAAGAAGTAAGTTTGTTTTAATTTTTACTTTTTCAAATCAAATATTATTACAAAGATTAAATTTAATAAATCTTGTGATGCTTTGTTAAGTTTAACAAATTCATTTAATTCACAAAATCACATTGACAGTCAATAGAAAAAAGTTCAAATCAACTAAAATCATCGTACATATCATTACAATTTTGCTGTGAGATATTTAGTCTGAAATATTTTGTCTGAGATCATTTGTCCATGATATTATTTGTCATGGATCAATTCGAACATCAACATAAGCTTAATCTGAAAATGAATGAATATTAGCTCTTTTCGTGATAATATCAGGGCATTATTTTTATAGCTGCAAAATTGTCGAAGAAAAATAAATCTTGGAAATATTGCCATGTTTAAGAAACTCTGCAGTGTGGTAGATGAATCTGATTGTGAGATCAATAAAAATTTGAACGAGGATTCTGGGCATCTCTTGAAAACGAACTGTAGAGTTATTTCCTTGAAAAAAAAGAAGAAACTGCATTGATACGTAGTCGATTTTCTGCTTCCTTTGATGTTGCCAGTCAGAGTAGTAGCAAGGGGGGTTGGGGGGGCCGTTGGGGTACATATGTCCCCGGGCGCCAAAATGGGTTGGAATAAAAAATTAAAAGCTTATTTTAGCTGCAGTTTTGCATTATAAATATAAAAAATCTATGGGGAAGGGGAGGGGGCGCCAAATTGAAAACTTGTCCCCAGGCGCCTGGAAGGGTCACTACGCCTCTGTTGTCAGGATTCCAGATGCATTACAAGATGAATTCTTAAATTTGCGGAATGATTCCGCGTCACATATCGTGTTAATTTAAAACTTTTCAAACAAATTTGGTGTGGTATGCACCGTTCATACCCAAACGTGAAATTGATTGCCTTTCGAGTTTTAGTTCCTTTTGTGTCTATAGATCTAATATTTCTCCAATTAAAAATGAAACAAAGAAATAAATTAAATGTTGAGAATGACATAAGTTTGGCGTTAGGGATCGTCCATAAATGACATCACACTCGTAGAGGGAGGGGGTCCGTAAATTTGTGACGGTGTGTGATGAGGGGGAGGGAGGGTGGGGGGGCGGGGTTCAGATTGTGTGACGTCACACTTTTGCATTATAAAAAATAATTTTAGAAAACTGTTTTAATAAATTGTAATTGGAATTGATTAAAATGCTCTATGAGAGAGTTCAGACAATATTTTGGAAAAATATCGATGTTTTAAGAAAAACTCAACAGCAATTTTGAGGGGGGTTGTAGGCTGAGGCGTGACGTCATTTTAGGGGGGGGGGTCTGGCTTTTTGTGAAGATGTGTGGATGAGGGGAGGGGGAGGTAAAAATTGTCCAAAAAAAAGCTTGACGTCATTTATGGATGACCCCTTAACAAAAACTTAACCGGGAATGTTGTGGCTAGTTAATAGAATGCAATTTTACTCATAATATTAAAACAGTTGTCAAGAATGATTAATTTTGAAAGACTACTAGAAAATCTTATTGTAGTGCTTATTAATTTCCTTACTAATTTCGACTTTTTAATTCTATGGGGGTCGTGGTTCACTTACTTTTTATAAAAGGAGGTCGCCACTTGATAACGTTTGGGAAACACTGACTCAGGCCATGTCATTGTACGAAAACGTAGTACTTGCGCCCAACTACACGGTTGAATGACATTTGTAATTTATGGTACATCTGATCTTAATGTACCATAAAGTGGTAAGGATTGGGAGTGGGACGTAAAAATATGTGTAAATAAACCGGTAGTGATCTCCCCTAAACTTTCTTGAATATTCTTATATAAAACAACAGGGGATGGTAACTGGGGATATAGTTATGATTTTTAATCCATTTTAAATACTGAAACTTTTAAAAATAGAATAGAATCTCAGTAAAAAAACAATTGCGCACCAAGCGAACGCCTAAAAAGGTGTGTATAATAGTGCGCAATAGTATTAGTACTTAATAAATTTACATTAGTTTTTTGAGAAATCGGAAGTAGCGTAAATTACTACTTCCGGTCAACGGAAATTACTCAAAATGTAACAGAAGGTAGAGAATTAGATCTTTTACTTACATTTGAAATTTCATTTATCTATCTGAAATAGTACTCAAGTTATAGGCTTTTGAAAAATTCAAAGTAGAAAAAGTACCACTTCCTGTTGTCGGAAATCGCTCAAAAGTTGATACGGATCTACGATTTTGATATAATACTTATATATGAAATTTCATCAACCTAGCTGTAACGGTACTCAAGTTATCGTGTTTACACACGGACACACAGACACACACACAGACACACACACACACAGACATACGGACAAGATTGCAAAATTATGTTTTTCCGTATCAGTGAGGTGTAAAACGTCGAGATTTGTAAAAATCTCGATTTTTTTTTTTTTTTTGCACGATTACAATACTTTCTCTATACTACGTATATACGAGAAAGTAAAAAGGCATCCTAACTATCAAAATAAAAATAAACGTAGAAATACATAGATTGAAGTGAAAAGCATAAATCCATAATTATATTTTATTTATCTATTATGATAGTAAAGTTACAGAGTTTTAAAGGTGTTAATTTTTACATAGCAACAATAACTGCAACTGCTGATGTTTTACTAATGTTTTCTATAGTTTATACATTTTAACATATGGAATTTGTAAACGCAACTTTAAATAAAAATGTGTTTTGATCTGTGGTGACTTGCCTTAAGTATGTGTATACTTTGTGGATAAACCTCACTCAGCATATGGTAAAAGTTTGCATAATACACTGAATATAACGATATGATGAATAAACGTAAACCTCATCATTATCAGTCTAATTGTCCGATTGAGCCAGGCTTTTCCGTTCTACCCTAGTACATACTGCACCCTAGGATACGAAAAACGGACACATTATTTATTTGTGATTTTTGGGTTCGTGCGCTGGTATTTCAAAGCTAGACCATGCCAGAGGCGTAGCGATGGGGGGCAGGGGGGACATATGTCCCCGGGCGCCGACCTTAGGGGGCGCCAAAATGGGTTGTAAAACAAAATTAAAATGTCAATTTTGCTGCATTTTTGCATTTTGAGGGGGGGGGGGGAGGAGTTCAAATTGAAAGTTGGAGGGGGGTGCAAATCGAAATGTTGAGGGGGGGTGCAAATCGAAAAGTTGATGGGGGGTGCAAATCGAAAAGTTGGTGGGGGGTGCAAATTGAAAATTTGCTCTCGAGGGGGCGCCGAATTGAAAGTTTGTACCCGGGCGTCGGTAAGGGCGCCTCTGGACCACGCACTCAACATTAATCATATTGAATAATTTTTTACAAAATACTTGAGTCTAATTAATTTAATAATGGCTTTTGATAGGCTTATTATCAAGAAGCTGCAAGGCTGAAGTAAAACAAAATCTCATTTATTTCATACAATTTTACAATACCCAAAATTCTAATGTATTTTGAAACATGTTTGAAACTCGACGTTTGATTCTGCTAACGTAGACATCATGTGATTTATTAAATCCGGACAATACCTAACAGAATATTCTCGCGTACCTTATTGTTTATCCTAGTAGTATAGTATTTAAATATAATATGTGACTTCATTTAATTCATCAACAATTCTATATGTGCTGATGCCAGAATGTGTTTTCTGTTAGAATTTCAGTAGCGCTGTCGCTAGTTGCACTTGTTGTTGCCATAGTTGCTATCGCATGGATCATTTACCGTCACAGCTACAAGGTAAAATATTTTTCATCAAACTTACAAGGTGTTATGTTTAACTGAATTTTTTATTTATTTTTAATATAACATAAAATATGTTTTGTTTTAGAACATTTTCAAAACAACCATAACTTCGGCTGATGTAGTGATCTACCACCAAGATAAAAATACACCCAAAAACTGTGAGTTTGCCTAAACTAACACGTCATAACGTATAAAATTATCATCAAATAAATGAACTGATAGATAACTATATGGCAAAACTCTTTTTATTAGACGCTCTCTTGCTTGGAGCTCACACTGTATCGGCCCTCGTACGTCTGTTTCCTGCAGCGAGATTCCTCGGTACAGATCATAAAGAAGGTAAGCACACGGAGATGTCTAGACTACTGTAACAGTCAAATGTAGGGTGAATGTATGTTTCAAGTGGAGGTGTAAAAAGGCGATATAAATCTAAAATATATTGTGGGTGGGCGCATGCGCAAAAAGAAAGTGGAAGTAGAGAGAGGAAGCAGGAAGAAAAAATGGCGTTGTTTGGTAATGAAGCTGTTGTATCTTTGAATCAATAAAATTGTGTAAATTACCAGGACAAGAGTTGTTTGGTGTTATCCATCAGGCCTTAATATGCAATACCACAACAGTGATGCGGTTGGTATTTGTCTTGAGTTTGTGCCATGAAGTTGACAGTAGAAAAAGGCCGTGACAGCTACTAATTGGGTGAAAACTTTAACAACTGTAATTTCTGCTCATAGTTCAACGCCCGTGGGATCAATGGTTGTCTCAATTTCTTTAGGAATATTTCGTCTAATTAAGTGTCCGTTGGCGTCGTTTGAGTAAAAATAAATCGCACAATTAAGATTTAACATGTCGCAAAACTAATAACTTACTGTATTTCTTATTTTAAATTAATTATAAATTACTCTTTAACGTAGGTCAACTTTAAAGTAAAGATTATATTTGAGATTTTTAATTGTGAACCAGTATAACTATGTGATGTTATGTCTTCTTTTAAATTATAAGTACATTTCCACAGTATTAATTACAAAAAAAATGTCTGTTTTTGACGTAAGTGTGACATTATTTCTTAGACCCCATCTTTAACCCAACAAGCCACTCAATCCTTGAGTTAAACGAACAAGCAACAGACAACATCCACCAACACGCTACAGGCGTCAACATCACACGGGAGGGGATCAACATTATATACCCTGGTGTGTAAAGCTCATTATTCTCTTGCTTGTTGCATCGTTAAATCTTTTGCACGAGTAAACCAGGACAGGGATACGTTTGAGATAGATGCGACTATATGATGCTAATTATACTGAGTTGTACAAAGTATTGTAGTGGTGCGCTAGTGTGGAAGAGTGGCGTTCAGTTTCTTCAACATAGACTGACTATACTCCAAGTCGTGACCTTTGAACCACACAGCCAAACTGTCTTAGATTTTACACAATTGACCCGAGGCATCGCGGGCTATTATAATGGATTTTGTGTTGATAACAATGCAAGAATATATAATTCTAAATCTAGTTAAATAATTACATTAGTCATTAAATGTAATTACAACTAACTAACAAAGGGCGGAGACAACAAGATTAAATACTAGCCGACGGAAGTGAACTGATGGTCACAGTTGGTTGACGCCACGCCTGAAAGGAGACCAAGGACTAAGTAGGGGCAGGTAATTGTGTTTAGATATCACAAGGTATCAGGTTTTAAAGAAAGTTTTTTAGTCGTATTCGTTATCAACTTTATTGATAACGAACAGAAAGCCAAAGCATTAAAGTAAGGAGTCTAATTATTTCATCGTAAAAATCGATAAGTGTATTAACTTTTGTGAATGTTACAATTACTAAAATGTGGGATATAAGACGAACCTGCTTTTTAAAATTAAATCATCAGTCACTAAAGTGTGTAAAATATTTCATCCCCGACCAATGCTTTCATTAAAGAAATCAAGCTTATTTTCTTATTTTCAGCGCATCCAAAGCTTTTAACTGTTACTATTAGGCACTATACGTTTTTATATTTTTATTTTAACTATATCGTTTCTTTTTCCTCTAAAGGTTTGTATTTCGTGTACAGTAGCGTCAACTTTAAGCCTAATTCCACAAGATTTTCAGCAGACTTTCATTATCAGGTAGAAAATAACAAAATAGAACAAATTTTAATTAGTTCCCAATATATTAATTAATTATATTTTAAATGTATGCATCTGAACTCATGAGCTAATTGATATTACGTCTGATAAATCTAAACTGATGAATAGTTGTTTACCTGTTTACCAACAAAATACCGTAAAAAGATGAATAGATCAATAAAGATGAATAGATCGATAATGATGATTAAATAATACAATCTTATCAGAGAAGATAGATTATTTTTTTTAAATATTGGGTCTGTTCCCCAGACGTGGTTCCAGTACATCAGCAGACGATCAGCCACCAGCCCAGTTTTATCTGGCGTCTTATTGAGAACTGTTCACACCTGTTGTAGCAACTGTACAGGTAGTCAGGAGACGGCTTACACAGGTGAGTTATAACCTTTATGTGGCGTAAATATTTGTGTTGTAAATTTCCGTTAAAACATCATGTTCTACGCTACGTTTTGTAAAGACGAATAATCACATGAGTTTTGTAACTAGTACATTCCTGCCTGGCTTGGTTTAGTTGTTTAGTGCTCTATTATTAGCATGCAAATGTTTAATGGTTATTGGTAAACTTGCTAACTCGAAGCCCTGATTCGTATCTCTGGTTCGCTCAAAGCCATGAGTCGTAATGTACGGGCTAGTGTACATTAACTTGTGGTAAAGCCACAGGTCTAGCGACTGGTAAACTTGCTTCAGAGAAATGCTGAGAAAGAGACATATAGAGAAAAGAGATATTTGTGGAGATAGAGAGATACAGAGTGAAAAAGTGAACAAGATTACTTTAATTTCATATTCTGAGGTAATTGAAACGGGTGAACTCTACATTAGACCTTCATGTTAGAAAGGACACTTACTTCAATTTAGATTGACCAAAATGACAAACTAGTGCGTTTTGTTTTAATTAGAACCAAGGCAGAGAATATATGTATTTCCTGAGTGAGACAACTATAATCCTTTAATCCAAGTGCTATGTTTTACCTGACACACCTATAATCCTTTAATCCAGGTGCTGTGTTCCACCTACGGACTGGCGACTTGATACAAATGAGTGTCTCGGGTCAAGGTCTCATAGAATTTAGTGCAGGAGCGTCATACCTTGGACTTTATATGTTACACCATGATGTGTAGTCAATATTTACAAGGTCTCATAGAGTTTAGTGCAGGAGCGTCATACCTTGGACTTTATATGTTACACCATGATGTGTAGTCAATATTTACAAGGTCTCATAGAGTTTAGTGCAGGAGCGTCATACCTTGGACTTTATTTGTTACATGATGACGTGTAGTAAATATATAACTCACAAACACACACATATATATCTATAATATTTTATAATCAAGGAAACCTCTGTAATTCCAATTACCTCCCGAGATATAAAATCCGAATATACTATCAATTTCTCTAAAAAATAAGATTAACTTTTAACTTGAGCATTCCACCTAACAGACAATCACTAGTTATATAATCATTCAAAATTTCAAATGTTTTTTTAAAAACGAAGCTATGCAGTATACCTATTATTCTATAATATAAGGCTGGTGGTAGTGTGTCAGTCATTCAGTCATTCCGTCATCGCTATTGATTTTGGAGCCATAAAAGTGAACAAAAGCACATATTTAAGTTACAATTTTATTTTTAAACCAGAAAATGTAACTATGTAATTAAATGGTGATTAAGGGGTTTTACTTTCATCTGCGTGATGGGTTGATGAATTTTAGGGCTTGTAAGTAGAGGTTGCATAGATTTGGGATTATAATATACAGCGTCAGTTAGACTTGCATGTTCCGCACTATAATACACATATTTTTACCATTCATTTGGCTTTTGTGTTTGCATTGTATTTTTGTTTTTGCATTGCTTTTTTTTAATATTCCGACTTGGGAACAGAACAGAACAAAACTAAACACAAAAGCAGAAGTGAACACAAACACAAATACAAAAGAAAACACAAACACAAAGAAAACGCAAACACAAACAAAACACAAACACAATGCAAACGCCTACACATTCGCAAAAAAAAGAGTACGCAAGCACATTCGCTAAAGCAAACACAAAAGAAAACGCAACGCAAAAGCAAACACAAACGTAAACACAAATGTAAAAACAAATGCAAATGCAATGCAAAAAAAACGCAACGCAAAAAACCTTAAACGAAAACACAAACACAACACAAACGCAGACGAAAACATAAACAAAAACACAAAAGAAAACGCAAACGCTCACACAAACACCATGCAAACATAAATGCAATAGCAAACGGAAAAATAAACAAACGCAATCACAAACACAAACGCAAACCTAAATGCAAGCAATAACGCATAACATAAACACAAACATAAATGCAAACATAAACGGATAGTGCTCATGGTATAGCCCGGGGCGCAAAATCGCACCCTGCCGGGGCGCCGGCGGAACCGCCTGGTTCAATTTACTAAAAGACTATAATACACCATCTTATCCACAGTCTATTGCACTCACTTAAACGAACGATTCGAATTAGTGAAGGTCTTTAGCAACCCTACTCCATTAATTATAATAAGACAATTCGATAAAAAAATCACTTCATGTGGTGTTTACATAATAACTTAAATATTAAATAAAGTATAGAACGTGTAATACAAAAATGCGTAGTGATTTATTTCGGCGAACAGGGCGATCTATAGATTGTATGCCCCCTCCCCAAATTAGGCCTATATATTATAGTTATTCGAGTTGGTCAAAAAGCCCCCATCTACCTCAGTTGGAAAGGTCGAGGCGCTTTATATCAGTCATTTTGCCTTTTTTTATTTTGGTATCAGATATTTTGATTTAGAAAATAATTAAATAATTTCTGACTATCAAATAGCAGTCTATGTTCTTTTCTTCGACTGAATATAATTTTGTAATGAGATTTTTTATCTACCAAGTTTGGGGTCCCCTTTGAGTCGGCGCAAACCCTCCCCTAGCTACATCTCTCTGGTAATATGATGAGATAGTTATTGTATTTAAACTAAATCTTTTAATTTCGAACATTTCAGATGGTTATCTAATTATAATGTTGATTTAGAGATCGCGGCGTTCTAAAACTTTTGCATTTCATTTTTAAAATGGCTTGTAAGTCTCGTTTTTTTCAAGCATTGAATTAGAAATCTCGTTAACCAGGTAGAGATTTAGATTTTCAAACTAAATTAATTGTTGTCACCACAAGATCCGGAACAGAATTTCAAAGCAAAATTCTACTACACAAACTTAGATATGGGTATACAGTCTTTGGAAGCAATGTTCCACAATTAGAACAGCATATTTTTCTATTTGGCTTCCTTTATGATATATCCAATATTATTAAAACAACACCTGCTGATAAACTTAAAAACTGTAAACATTTAAAAAGGTCATTGACGCACAACGCTAATAAAAGATATTGATGCTGATGATGTTTGCTTCAAGTAGTAGCTTCTAAGCTATCAGATGTGCTTTTCTATGTAGTGCGACCAAAACTGCAAGATTATGTAACAAATGTTGTTTCCTTTAGAATACTATTTACATTTCCAGTGTCAGTGGCTAATGAAGAGTGCAGTTTTTCAAAATTAAAATTAATTACAGGAGCTAAACTACTATACCACCAGTCCTCGCAACGCGCGATTCGATTCACTTAAAGACTATAGTAACCTTTCTTACCCATAGTCTATCGCAACGAAATTATAATCATCGCGATCACGGGATAGCCCAGGGTGCCAAATCAAAATCCTGCCGGGGCGACGCTTGTTGCGCCTGTTTCAATTTAGTGAACAATTACAATACCATAAGCTTATCCGCAAACGTGAAAAAGTAAACTTAGAGTAAATTTAGGAGATGGTTTCTTTATTGTTATTGATTTTTAAAAATATTTGCGGTGCAAAGCAACGTCTTGTGATTGAAACTTGGAAGCTATAAAACATAAACATTAAAACTCCATATTTTCAGGCTAGAATTAAGTTTGAGCCTATCTATCTCAAATTGATTTGTTGTCTCATGATATATATATTTTACAATTAAATAGGTTAAATGGTTTAATTTAAAATGTAGTGAGACAGTCTACTAATAAATATAGGGGCCTATATATATATATATATATATATATATATATATATATATATATATATATATATATATATATATAAGCGGCTATGTAGTATGGCAGTCATTGTGTCCTTCAGTCATTCATCACTATAGATTTTGAAACCATTAAAGTGAACATCAGCACTTTTTTTTTTCAGGTAAGCAAAATTTATTGAATGTGATGATTTCAAAAAGCATTACTCAGATTACTATGCAATAATATACACATTTTTATTGACTACTTCTTTCAATGCAAATTCTAGATTATGCATTAAATACAATTAGCTCTTATTTGTACAAAATCTTTTACAAAATGATTTTGCATGAACGAAAATCACTTCATAAATATTCAATACTTAAAATTACTGCGCAAGTAAAATATGGATTTGCTAGATGTATTTTTTTTAAATAAGTACATACTGCTGTTTAATTGATTACAGCAACGTGAAAATCTAGTTGGGTTCTTACAATTCAGGTGGGTTAGGTAACAAAGAAGAGAAATTTGTATTTATGAAGAATATGCAAGCTGTTACCATCATGATGCTGTTCTATGCATTGATTGGCCTCCCCCTCTGCTACACTGCCTTCTGGTGTGGGTGTTTCTCCTTCTTGATTAGTTCCTCAATCCTGGTTGTTCATTTGCTTGCTGTTGAACTGGTGAAGGGGGCACATTCTGCTACCGCTCTTGTTCTCTCTTTACTCTCTGAGTATACTTTCTTAATTTTTGAAACACATAAATAGCCAGTGAACCACAGCTGTTATTTAAACTAAGAAATTTTCCACCAGACTCATGTGATAGTCTTTACAACTGTGTTCGTGTTACTCGTGTTTTGGGCTCCATCTACCAATGGTCCTTAGCATTGATCTCAACATCCCATAATTTTAGGGTGATATAAAAAGGAGGAATTTTCCAAACACGAGACACGCAGAAGACTCCCACAGAGAGAGAGAGAGCCACGTCGCCATCTTAAATTTTCTTGATTGAGGAGTAATTATCGCTAAGCTCCAGTGTATTCAGTATTTTTCTGTGTCTTATTTTAATAACGTGTAGGTTGTGGTGATAACTTAGGTACCTTATCCAGTGTTAGTAGTTTCAGTGTGTTATTCCTGAAATGGTAAGTTGGGTTTTTCATTGTTGTATTTTTTTTCGTGTAGTATTTTATTTTATTTTTAGAAGGTTTTAGATTGATTAAAAGTTTTATTAGTTTCAGAAGGTCTTTGTATTTGTATTTAACCCTAGACAATAGATTCGAGTCTATGAAGACTTTTTGTTCCTAGTAATCTTTTATAGTTTCGTATAATTCATCGGTCTAGAACCATCCCAAAAGAAATAGGGAGTTACGTAACATTTATCAGTAATAGAGTTACGTAATATGTAACCAATTCCTTTTTCTTCCTCAATCCCTCCTGAACATTCATTCTAACATAAGGTCTTGCATTATTTACAGCCTGTGGTTGCTGGGCAAGTGGAAAAGCTTGAATTATTGGTTGCTGTGTTAATTAAGTTGATATTGGGCATTAATAGGTTATGTGTAACCCCAGCATAGTGAAAATTCTAATAGTACTGCATATTCTGCATCATATACTGGGAAATACATTTATTGCTGCAACATCCATGCATATTGTTCAGGAGTACACACAATCTGCTTGAGCTGCAGGTGCTATAATAGTGGTGTTTTGTTTGGCCTTACTTAATCGCTCATCTTGTACATCTCTGGATATATCTCTACAGTGCCAATTCCCTTATTCCAGAAGATGCTGATGCTGGTATGCAGTCTGGTGTACTTTTAGTTAATTGTATGTTTTCCCCAGCATAATCAGAGTGCACTGAACACACTAAATGCTCTGTGTGCTTATTTTTCGTCAGTTCTGAACCATCATACTGGAGTAAAATTTATTTTAAGTTTACGTTGTCTTAAAGTGAACGCCCTGAATAAAGTAGACGCTGTTCAATGTGTTTGCATCGAATTGAGTTATTATAATTAGTTGGGTAGGGTTTTATTTACATAGCGACTTTTTTGTATAGTTGGCACAATTTTTTCTCCTTCGCATAACGTGAAGAAAATATTAACACACACAAATGCTTAAAAATATTAAACAGAACAATGTTATCAAATAATATTTTTAATAGATTCGAAAATACGCAACATGCATAACATAAACACAATTTAAATGCAAATGTAACACATAGTGCTCACAGTCTAGCCCAGTGCGCCAAATCCAAACACGCCGGAACGCAGGCAAAGCCGCCTGATTAAACCTAGTAAACGACTATAATACCCAAACTATTTCATAAAACAAACAAAAGGCAGCATCTCTAATAATAGTTTCGATGTCTGGGTATCCATCCATCCATCCATCCATCCATCCATCCATCCATCCATCCATCCATCCATCCATCCATCCATCCATCCATCCATCCATCCATCCATCCATCCATCCATCCATCCATCCATCCATCCATCCATCCATCCATCCATCCATCCATCCATCCATCCATCCATCCATCCATCCATCCATCCATCCATCCATCCATCCATCCATCCATCCATCCATCCATCCATCCATCCATCCATCCATCCATCCATCCATCCATCCATCCATCCATCCATCCATCCATCCATCCATCCATCCATCCATCCATCCATCCATCCATCCATCCATCCATCCATCCATCCATCCATCCATCCATCCATCCATCCATCCATCCATCCATCCATCCATCCATCCATCCATCCATCCATCCATCCATCCATCCATCCATCCATCCATCCATCCATCCATCCATCCATCCATCCATCCATCCATCCATCCATCCATCCATCCATCCATCCATCCATCCATCCATCCATCCATCCATCCATCCAATCTGTCTGTCTGTCTGTCTGTCTGACAAGAACGCTATAGAGAAAACACAAGCAGAGTAAAAACATGAATAGTAATTCGAAAAACGAAACGTGACGTTACATGGAGCATATAGTAGAAAATAGTCTAAAACCGGAGAGTGCACACAGTAATATAACGTAATTGATTCTCGAGTAAACATTGAATTAAAAAGCCAATTTAAAAGTGGTTTGCGTGGAGTTTCTTTCATGCATCTCTTCGCGTAGGGGCGAAGCCCCCCCCCCCCATCGTAAGAACGTCCAAGCCGCCCACCCAACTCAAAATAAATGACGTCGTCGATTCTCTAAAATAAAACACTGACATTATGGCCTAATTCATGTGTCTAATCTTAAAAGTTTTGGGTGCAGTTTCCTTCATACATCTCTTCTGGTAGGGGCGAAGCCCACCCTCCTCCCATAATAAAGTCTAAGCCGCTCCCAACCTCCCTCAACAAAAATGACGTTTTCGATACTCTATAATAAAAAGACTGACATTACGCCTAATTAATGTGTCTAATCTTAAAAGTGTTGTGCATGAAGAGTTTCTTTTATGTATCTCTACGTGTAGGTGCCAAGCCCTTTCACCCCCTCCCTCACCGAAGAACGTCTAATTCCACCCCCCCCCCCCCCCCCCCCAAAAAAAAAACGAAATATAATTTATATAGACAATATATACTTTTGCCAGTGTCGGCCGGAGAAATTTATTCGCCCCTGCAAAAATTTAAAGTACCCTTCCCCCGGAAAAAAGCCTAAAACGAACACTGCGTGAGTGAAATTTATCGGCCAAAAGTAGGAAACAGGTCTATATTACAGAAGTAGGCTCTACTTTTAGTTTGTATGATCTACAAACGCGACCAGTGTTTCTTTGAGACTTTTTCCTCTCCGGAGAGGGTACTAAAAATTTTCGGGGGTCGGGGTGGACTAAATTTTCTCGGAGAGGATGGACACTGGTATAATTATAATACTATTTCGTTGAATGGGACGGTAGACGGAGCCCCCTCCCCCAAAGTAAAGTCGCCTGAAAGAAACTTTAAATGCGACTTTTGTCATGATTAAGATAAGGTGCAAGTTTTATGGGTGTGGCTACGACTATCTTTAGTATCAATGTGCAGTAACTACGTGTAGATCAAGCGTAAATCAGATAAAAATGCTGATCTGAATAAAAATCCGTTTTCAATGTCGTTTTTCTGTTCCGGTTCAATTTGAAGTTAAGGTGGTGATTTTGGTTTCGGTTTTGGTTTAGAAAAAAGAGACAACTCTATCAACCTAGCGCCCGTTGTATCTCTCCCTCACCGGGCCATTTATCTCGTAGTTTCACTGTCTTTCTTTGTATCTGTCTATCTATCTGTTGGGAACGCTTTTACTATAGAGAAAAGACAAGCAGAGTAAAAACATTCATAATAATACGAAAAACGAAACGTGACGTCATATGCAACATATAGTAGGAAATTTTATAAAGCCGGGAAAGTACAAGCAATAATATGACGTCATTGATTCTCGAATAAACATTGAATCAAAAAGCCAATTCTGTATAATCTTAAAAGTGGTTTACGTGCAGAGTTTCTTTCATGCATTTCTTCGGGTAGAGGCAAAGCCCCACCCCCACCCCCCACCCGTCACTCTTCACGCAAACCTCTGAAACCTCTTTTGAGGTTTGCGTGCAGAATGTCTTTTATGCATCTCTTCGGGGTCGGGGCAAAGCCTCTTCCCCTTCCTTGTATAGAAAATATATTCTTTTAACAGTGCTGGGCCGTATAATTTTATTCGATTCAAGTGTCTGAAAGAAACACTGTCTGCGTGAGTGAGTTTTATCTGCCAAAAGTAGTAAACGGGTCTATATTACAGAAGTAGACTCTAACTTTAGTCTGTATTATCTACAAATGCGACCAGTATTTCTTACAGATATTTTCCTCCCCACTACTAAGTGAAATATTGTTATGTTTATGCCCCTTTGACCATATATTTGCTTTATAAATTTGTTATTATAGTCGTGTATAAATTAACTATCAAAAACTGTTAATTTAAAAATGGGATGAGAGGGGGGGGGGGTTATAGGATGAGGAGTATTGTCGGCAATTAGCCAATGTTACATAATTTTGTATTTTTAGTGTAGTCACTTTTTATTGATTACTGCGCTTTGAATTTCAAAAATTTAATTATTAATTTTATTTTTTTTAATTTTTTTTGGGCTGGGGAGGGGGGGGGGGGTTGGGTGTTAAATACCCGGGGGAGTGGTGTCTGATACTAATAAAAGAATATATTTTCTACAAAAATTGTATTTCATTCGGATGGGTACACATTCTTTAGTGGGGGATACCTGAAGGAAACTTAGGCCTATATATTTTAGTGTTATACTCCTTTGAGAAAAAATATTTTATAAAATAGTTATTGGTCAATACGCAATGTGCTTTACTACACGTTGAACGATATTAGTGACAAAGCAAAGAAATGAATACCTAAAATCCGACACATTAAAAATAACATAGGCTACTAATACTTATTAGAAAATTTAAAAACCAAATTATATACATTATTACTCAACTAAACGCCATATTACATGCACACACTGAATAAAAGACTTAAATGATTCCGCTAAAAACCCGGCTGTTCAATGGTATTGGTGCTGTTTTCTAAACTAATTTGTATTACTTTTGGCCGACCAAATTGTATTAATTTCATAGTGTACGTCTTGAAAAGTAGATTTATAGATCTCAATCAAATTTGAATGAAATAGTTCATTTCTTCACATTCTAAAATTGGAAGATGACGTCATTAGTTTTGTGTACTTTCCGTAGTTTAAACATGTGGCATGTGACGTCATTGTTTTTAGCGTTCTTGTCACAACAAGAGAGAGAGAGAAGTGCGCACATGGTCTTTTATATATTAGGATAATAGTTTCACTATCATGTGTGTCACCCTGCTACTCTACCTATTTGTTGGGTACACTATATAGAAATCACAAGCAAAGTGAAACCTTTTACATTCAAGCGGAAAACGAAACTTGACGCACATTATGCAACATATAGCAGGAAATAGCCGGAACAGTACACATAATAAAATGACGTCGTTAATTCTTGAGTAACCCCCCCCCCCCCCCGAAAAAAAAAAAAAAGACGCAATAAATATGTCGACATCGTTACATGATAATAAAGACACTAACATTACCACCTAAGTAAATACGGTAAAATTTCTTCGAGGAGCTCAGTAGAATTGCCTGAAAGAATCTCTAAACTGTCTCTTTTGAGGTTAGATGCAAGGATTAGGGGTATCACTACGACTATATTTAGTATCAATGTAAAGTAACTACGTGTAGATCAAGCTGAAATCGGACTAACATGCCGATTCTTGATAAAAATCTGTTTTCAATGATATTTTTCGTTTACGGTTAAATTTCAAGTCGGGGTGGTGATTTTAGTTTTGGTTTCCATTGAGAGAAAAAAACACTTTCAACCTAGCGCCTGTTGTATTTCTCCCTCAACGGGTCATTTCTAGTACTAAAATAATTTCACAAATATATGCATAGTAGATCATGTAAATGCTGCTTTTCTTTCTTTAAATTGTAACAGGCTGTATTATGTGAACTGTATTTGAAGTGGAATGTGTGTGAATGCGTGGCTGAAGGGATTGAATGTAGGGCTATATTTAACCCGGAGTAAATGCTATGCTAGACAGTCACCATACAGCCTCCATAAGCGAATGCAAAACTGAACGACGCCCGAGAATTGTGTAGGCTTTTCACGCATTAAATGATGGATTCTTATAATTTCTACTGTTTAAATAAAGTTATCTAGTTATCAGTTTCTTGTATTCATGAACCCTCATTCAAAGGTGTGTTTGAACAGTAAATACACTTTTTAATTTCGTAGAAATATCTGATTGCGTTTTTTTTTCGGAAATCGTACACCCACCTTCGTTTGTTGATTTTTCTATTCCTAAAAAATTCACATATTTATTGAAAGCAGTCAATTCAACTGGGTTTTCAGGGTTATAAAAAGGGGTAGGGCAGTGAATTACGCTACACTGAGACATCAGACCACTTCTCGGCTGCGAGCTTTCAACCCACAGTGCGAACTTCTCATACAGATTTGACCAAGTGTAAGTATTAATTATAATCAAATTGTATCTATTTCATTTTTGTAGTCAACACAATCTATATATATAAAGCAAAGTTGTCGGGTGCCCTATAGGGCACTTCCCGGCGCCGCAGACGTTTCAAATTTGGCAGGAATATATATATATATATATATATATATATATATATATATATATATATATATATATATATATATATATATATATATATATATATATATATGTTCAACAGGAATCAAAATACATACTTTGAATAACTCACTAGTATGGCCAGTGAAGACATTTCAAAACATTTCAAAGGTAATTCCAGAATAATTTATGTTTTTGTAAAAATGTATGACTAACCTTGTTCAAGTAAATAATCAAGTCATTAACTTCGAATAGCTTACTGCTGATGTAGTATTTGTTTTTGTTTTTTTTTTTTTTGTTTTTTTTTTTTAAAGTAGCGATTCCTCTTTAGACCTAGCTATTAATTAGGTAGATGAAGTAGAGTTCAAATGTATCGGGACTTCGGCAGATGAAGGAAGGATGTCGTCAGCACTATTCCCAACCGCCTTTATTTTCATCTATGTAAGTCAGGTACCCATTAGAGCTGGGTAGACTAAGGGTCGTCATACAGTCTCAAGTCGGAAACGAGATCCGAACGTAAAACTTTTGGGATTGCTGCCAAATGCTCTACTATTCGGCCACGCCGCCTAAAGTAGTTTTGTTAAAATATTATTCTAGAAGAAGTTTAATTTGCAGGTTCACATGAAATACAAGAATTTCTTGAAGGCCAAGATGAGTTAGATCTACAAACACAATGGAAAAACTGTCAGAAAAATCCTGGCCATGTAGGCTTTGTACCGATAAATAAGTTTTCCATTAGCGATTTACCTGCTGATTACCAAGACGACGACTTATACGAATTCACAAAAGCTCTGGCTTTCCGGACGGTTAGAATAGCCGTGAATTTCACTAGTGTATATAGACCTGAGATTGTACCTGGCACGGGAGACCCATATCCTGGCTACAAATACAGGGGGAAAAAGTCAGGGCATACAGGAACTGGGAATATGATATCTGCGCCTAAGAAAACGGACAGTTACACAACTTGCCCATGTCCTGTTTGTGAAAAAAATAATACTCCTAGCAAAGTATGGTGGGAAATTGAGGTGGCAACATCCAAACATGTGATTTTTGATGACAGTGAGGCGAAACAAGCAAGCTGTAGGTTGTGGTTTGATGATGATGAAAGTCCAGTGGTCAACATTTATGGGTGGAAATGTAATGTAAACAGAGATCCTTTTTTTGATGAAATGAAAGTCTACTTTGTTACACATGAAACAGAAATAATTAATAAACTGGAGAATATGGATCTAAAATATAATTGCCATTTGAAAACATTGTATGACAAATACCAGACAAGAGATGTAAACAAGATGACCATTATAGTGTCCCATCCCCATGGCTGTTCTAAGCAGGTTTCTTTTGGTAACTGGGTACACAAGCAAGCTGCAAAGTATGCTTTTGTGGAAATGGCAGCATTAGGCAAGTACACGTATACAAACTCCACATGCCCAGGTAGCAGTGGGGCTCTGATCTATCGATTGGAAGCTTTGCTTAATTTTCATCACCACAGTGGAGTTTCAGCTGGTGGAATTAATTTCAGTGGTGTGTTTCCGTTTTAAAACCTATGTTGTCTAACGTTTGGCTATTAGATGTTAGCATAGCAAAATTATATCATTATAACAGTCATTGTATTCAAACTTAGCTTTATTAGTTGTTTACATTATTCGTGGCGTAAAATGAAGAGAAAAAAACTGTTTTTTTTATATATATTTAATAATTATTCAATAATAATGAAATTTAAAATAAGATTCATTTAAAATAAGATTTAAAATATTTCTAGACATGTAGGGGAAAGGTGGGTAAGTAGTACCCTCTAAGAAAACAACTTCAAGTAAGAAACTATTTGTTTTTTTAAGGAAGCAATCTTTATTGTAAATGTGACCCAAAGTACGTGGTTTTAATGTGGCAGGATAATTAAGACAAAAAATTTACATAACGGCACTTCTTACCCACGCAGAATGCTAAATAGTACCACCAGCGAGGCGAAGAAGCACATATGAATATAAAGATAATGTGCTTAACACTAATATGTTGATTTGTATGCAGCCATTGGTCATTGTATAAAATTGCTGATTGCAAAATACTTAGTTCTACGGACATAGATGTCGGTTAAACACTCTCAAACATCATAAATAAAAATATATTTTTCATATGTGGTGTATCCTTAAAACCCCGTGACCTGGCAGACCGATAGAGCGATCTGAGACATCTTACACCATTTCGACTGTCCGTACATAAAAATGTAGGCATAGCGTACGTCACTAGTTGTACAGTTTGTCTCGTGTTAACTCTGCGCCCACATAAACACTTTTCTGTAGGCTACTGTTTATCATTTGTAATTTAGAACATAAAGATTATTTGAAAATTCAACAAACGTCATTCTACCAAAATATATGTCCACGCCCAGCTACGTCTACCCACTGGAAGGACCTGCATACCAAGAATTATCGCCAATGATTCATAAACACATGTCTATTAAAATAATAAAATTAAGCTTGTTTTTATGTTCGTAATCTTTATTTTTCATTTTTTCAATAAGAGTCTGGTGTATGTGCATTTTGCCCAGGGGAATGGGGATGGTATTGAAATAGTTGACCAATCTTTGCCCACAATTGTTTTTGTTATCTATCAGATCTTTCTTATTTATGACCACAAACAACATCTCTTTATGACTGAAATGCTTTTTGATACCTCCAGTCCTTGCAAGAAACATTTGGATTATATAGAACCATGGTGTAATTAACAGTCTGTCTAAAAACAAAAATTGTTCTCTATGTATTTACTTATTGTACAGATCTACACATATTGCAGATTCCCTCCTGTAACCAAACGGACAAACAAAAACAAAATAAAAAATATTCAAACATGTAAACAAATTTGAGTTCTAGTATATACTAGACTACCCGTTATCTAGTTAAATAGCTGTGGGTTTCGGGGTCATCTATAAATGACATCACGTCGGTCACTTATTATCACAAAATAACGAGACACCACATTCAAAAAGGCGTCACACGTCAGATGTTTTCGTCTTTTAAAAACACTGATTTCAACTGAGTATGGGTCTGACAATATAATCTCTTCATATGCAGAGGTTACAAAAACAGGTCAACTCTACTTCACCTGCCCAGTGTCCTCCCAACTCAGACATGTTTTTGTCTGTGAAAACACAGATTTTGGCTGAGCGTGGGTCTGACCACACTATCTCTTCATATGCTGTCGTCACAGGTGAACTTTACACCTATCCAACACTACTTCACCGGCCGAGCATGGCTCTGACCACACTATCCACGTTATATAATGAGGACAAAGAAACAGGTGAACTCTACTTCACCTACCCTGTATCCCGCTAAGTTTCAAAAGGCAAAGGCAACATTAAAAAACTTTTTAAAAAAAATTACAATTAAACAAAACAAACCCACTGACATGTCTAGTACCCATGCCATGGTAACCTAATGTGCTACCCTCTTAGCTATCTAGGCTCGTACTCTGGTGAAGTTAATAACCTATATATTTTACTTCTAAGCCGCTTAAGAATCTACGCGAATCAGCCCTAGAATTAGATCTAGAATTATTTCAAATTAAATTTTATCTTAAATTAGCCAATTGCATAGCTAAACAAACAAAGATATATATTAAATAATTAAGTCCTGAAATAGTTTAGTAGGCCTATATTATGATTCTAGTTATAGATTCTAGATGTAGAATTTACGTTAAATCTGGATCTAGATGTAGAATTTAGATCTAGATTCTAGAGTCTACGTTGAGTCTCGATCTAGATGTAGAATTAAGAACCTAGATAGATCCCATCATGCATTCTCGAATTAGATGATCATTGAAGCTAAACAAAGATTTATATATAATAATAATGGCCTGAAATAGATTCTAGATGTAGAATTCACATTAAGTCTAGATCTAGAATTTACGTTAAGTCTAGTGACCTAGATTTAGATCTAGATCTAGATTCAAAACTTTTCCTTCCTTCGACAGCTGATCTGTAGATCTAGAGAAATGTATTGTATTATAAAAAAAGAAGTGTTAAAACATTGATAATAGTGTTGAAACGTAATAAAAATAGCAAACGGGCGTATTGTTAAAGTTATATCCGACAGAAAATTAGTCGCGAATGCGACAAAATATACGCCACTGCCCCACCATGTGCAACCAACCGTTTGCATGAGTCATGGACGGTATTCGAAAGAAATAAAGGAGGTATGTCGTAATAAAGCCTCGAACAAATACACACAAACAACAAATACATCTTAAGCATTAAATCAGCTACGTTTTACTACATTTTACTAACAAATATTTGGATAATAAGAGGTGAATGCTGACATCCAAGACAATTATTTAAAGATTCTCATAAAGGCAGACGACGAAGGCCACAGGAAAAAATACTCGCTCATATCTCAAGAAGACATACTCAAAGCAATCAATAAACTCAAATTAATCAAAGCCCCGGTTCCAGATGCCCAAATGAACGAGTTTAATAGGACTTAGTAACTGACCTAATCCCTATTTTACAAGCATCAAATAGCGACATGCATAAAAAAGAGACTGTGGAGTCCACTGCAACAAGTCCCATATCGCTCGAATCCCAGCACCCGACAAGATGAAATAGCCAGCTGCCGACCAATATCATTACAAAATAGCGACTATAAAACTAGCGACTAAGAAACTCTGCTACGCAATTACCTCAGCACGTGGATAAAAACAATTTATAACAAAACACACAATAACTTATAAACAATAACATTTCTACCACCATACACATCTAATTGTCAGTTACACAATGCTGCCCATTGTGCCCTATTTTATACATCCATAGTTTAGAGCCCCTCTTAGAAAAATATATTAGATGGGACAGCACTAAAGAAGGACTTTCTATAATCTAAGTTTTTGTCGCAAAAATATGTTAAAAATCTCAAGAGCGTCTAAACCTTTATATTTAAAAAAAAATAAACCGGGAGTGATCTCCCCTAAACTTTCTCGAATATTCTTATATAAAACAACAGGGGGAGGGAACTCGGGATATAGTTATGATTTTTAATCCATTTTAAATGCTTAAACTTTTTAAAATAGAATAGAATCTCATAGAAAAAAGAATTGCGCACCAAGCGAACGCCAAAACAAAATGTGCATAATAGTGCGCAATATTATTAGTACTTTATAAATTTACAAGCGTTTTTTGAGAAATCGGAAGTAGCGTAAATTACTACTTCCGGTCAACGGAAATTACTCAAAATTTGATAGATGGTAGAGGATTAGATCTTTTACTTACTTGTGAAATTTCATTTATCTATCTGAAATAGTACTCAAGTTATAGGCTTTTGAAAAATTCAAAGTGAAAAAAGTACTACTTCCGGTTATCGGAAATCGCTCAAAAGTTGATACAGATCTACGATTGTAAAAAAAATACTTAAATATGAAATTTCATCAACCTAGCTGTAACGGTAGCTGTTTTACTTTTCCCACTAAAGCGTCAAATGTCCTTTTATGACGTAGTAGACCATGGCTTGCCTCCTCCTCTACGTTAAGGGGGAATATTTTCCTTTCAATATCACTTTATCTCCACTTGTTTTTCACAGTTGATGTTTATGAAGCTACTAATGTCTTACTATAGGGTGGCCCCTAATTCAGTCTAATATTTGATGCTTTACCACAAGGTCTTCTTTATCATTTAACGTAGAAGTGTCCATTGTTATACATAATGTTAAACTTTGGTTGGTAACGATTGCTTTGCTTTAATACGCTCTCGTTTGGCCCTAATTTGTAGAAAAGATTTTAAAAACTTCAATGTTATTCTTTATTCTAATTGCTACACTGTATTATGAATCTTATTATGCAATCTTAGGCCACCTGTGTGACAACTTTTTTTTATTTGGCTTCAAATTATTTCATAATTTAATCATTTTTTAACATTTTGTGTGTTGTTGTGGAAATAATTAATTTTTGTGAATATTTGAACCTTTATACAGATTAATGCGCAAATACACACACACACACACACACACATTTGTTGGTGTAATTGTTTTATTGGAGAATTAAAGTATTTTAGGGGGAAAAACGTAAATTTGTTTTGAGTTTTGGTGTATCAATTTTAAGTTTCAGTTTTGTTTGATACATTTTAAAAGTGCTGTAGGAATATTTTTAATTTTGGGTTGCCAAATGCTTAGAACACATTGCATGTGTTACTGTTTAGGTTTTAGCGATGCCTAATACGTTTAAAAATGTTAATATCTTATTATTTTTAGCCCTTATGCGTTACTTTAACTAATACTTTCGTGTTTAGATTCAGTTATTTAGTTGCAGGGAAAAATTTGGCTACAAAATCAATTGCAAAGAAATGATCAAATCACTATCTTCATAATAGACCTAGAAAGCTGGTTCCCATTGGTTCCAAATGGTTGTGGCCAGAAGGCATATATTTTTACTAGAATAAGTACAAAGAATGGCTTCCAGTTTTATTAAGGCTAGAAATATTCAAACAAATAATTACTAAAAATATAATAATAATTTAGCTAACGCTTTTATTTTTAACTAGCCGTCGGTACCCGTTACACGTGAATTATAGGCCTATATATTTTAATGCTATATTCGTTTGAGAAAATATTTTA